GGGACTGATTGTTTTGAGTTCTTTATATATCCTTGATAATAGTCCTTTGTCTGAGGAACAGCTGGTAAAAATTTTTTCCCACATTGTAGATTCTCTTAGTTCTGCTGATGGTTTCTTTTGAAGTAAAGAAGCTTTTTAGTAAGATGAGATACCAGTTGTTGATTCTATCTGCTACTTCCTGTGCTACTGAGGATTTGTTCATGAAGTCTTTTCCTATACCAATGTCTTCCAGAGTTCTGCCTAACTTACCGTCCAGCAAGTTTAATGTTTCTGTTTTAATATTTAGATCTTTAATCCATTTGGATTTTAATTTAGTGCATGGTGAAAGATAAGGGTCTAATTTTAATCTGTGGCAGGTTGATATCCAGTTTTTCCAACACCATTTATTAAAGAGGCTATCTTTCCTCCACTGAGGATGCTGACTCCCATTATTATATAGAAGCTATTGCTTTGAAATATCTTATAAATTAAGTAAAATATAATTCTTTTACCTAACCAACTAATGTATTGCTTGAGCATGTAACTGGGGGCAGCTATAAAGAAAAAGTGACAGCAAGTCATAAACACTACATTTTTTAAGACTTCCATAATGCAAATGTAAGTGAACTGTCTGTCCTACAATGGCATCCAAAAACTAAGGCTCAAGCCAAAACCTGATCTTCCTCCAAAAACAAAATTTCAGATTTTTGGGAATTGCTGTTTCTTGGTTTAAAAAGGAAAGAGAAAGAGGGAAAACAAATCGTGTATACCTCTCTAAATCTGCTCACTTTCTAAAAGCTTCTCTCTCAAGGTAAGTTAGATAGAAAAGTATCCTAAAGTCTCATTTAAACAAAAACTTGAAAGCCACAAAGAAAAATAAAAGTTTGGACAAACATGCATATTTTAAAAATGCCTCTTACCAAAAGTATTTGATCGTCTTCCCTTGTATCAACCAATACAGTCCTGATGAATGGACGCTTTTTAAAATGGATTTTATTTCAAATGGGCCACTCCATATATTTTTAAGTGTTGGGCAAAAAGAAAGCATAATTTTATATGCACTCTAAACACTACATATAAAATTCATTTGCCTTTCCTATTATGAAAACAGAAAGTCTATTCATTGAGTTATGAGGTACTTATGTTTAAATAAAATAATATAAGATTGAAAGTAGCACAGAATATTTTTACTTTTTATATTTGAATTTGGAGGATTGAAGAGTGACTTTTTTTCCTGCTTAGGGTACCAATTCAATTAATCATCTACTAACACCTTATATGACAACATATTTTCTTTACCTTTGGCCCAATCTGCAATTTCCTACTGAAAGACCCCCTCTGTGTAAGTTAGTGTTTATTAATGGTTACCTCTTGGTTTAGTTATAAAACTATCCATTAATTAAAACTTCGTGATTTTTAAAAAATACATAAATTATTTTAAAGTCACAGTTTCAGTTAGTTCAGAGTGCTGTAACAAAGTACTATAGATGGAACAACAGAAATATATTTCTCACAGTTCAGGAGTCTGAAAGTCCAAGATGACATTTCCAGCACAGTCAGATTCTGGTAAGAGTCCTCTTTCATACTGCATGCTACCACTTTTCACTGTGTCTCACATTTTGCAAAGATAGCTAAAGAGCTTTACAGAGTCCCATTTATAACATTTGTCAAGTTCTTTTTTTTTTTTTCAGCTTTAATTGAGTTTATTGGTACATTTAAGGGATACAGTACAGTTACATTCATTGTTGGGATCTTGTACCTCTACATGACAATTCTTGACTCTCATTTTTTCCCCTTACCTCTGCCCTCCCTTCACCCCCTCCTCCCCTCCCCATCTACAAACACTTTATTTTCAGCTTTTCATTCTCTCACATTTTTTTCTTTTCCCTTTTTACTCTTCCCCTACCCATCCCACCTTCCGTACACC